GTAAGGATTTTGGCCAATTTACCTTATCAAGATGACTGTAAGCAATGCTTTATTAACTACAATATAATGACTGTCCCTTGCATTTTTATATTTCAAAATCTTGTGCATGTAAAGGAAAACCAGAGTGACTTTATATGTTTTGACAAGGTCCATGATTATAACACCAGAAGAGCACAAGATATTGTTCCACCCTATTCTAGATTGCGGAAAACAATAGTCAGCCATAAATATCTACAAATTAAGTGTTTTAATAAATTGCCACAAGAGATCAGAAACCTCGAAATTCAACAATTTAAATTGAAACTGTCAAACTGGTTTATAAGCAAAGCTTTTTATTCTCTTGATGAATTTTGTTCATATAAATTTTAATTTGATCTGTTATGAGCTTTAATTTGGTGATGCTTTGGTGAGTAGTTGTAGTTGATTTATTGTTAATTTTCGTAGTTTATATCAATTTATTGCTGAATGTTAATTATTTCTTTGTTATGTTTTACTCTGTTATATCTGTTAGTCTGACAAGTACATTGTACTATTTCTTTTTATACTGCATATTACTGTATTTCTTATGTTCTTTGACGTTGTCTATAGCAATGTAATGTTGACAAATGACAATAAATGGATTCTGATTCTGATTCTGATTCTGACATGGTAACCAAGAAAGTCAATCTCTGGTACAAGGAATTAAGATTTAGAAACATTAATGTGTAAATCGTTGTCTTTGAACCGATTTAATACAGCACGGAGTCTTTTCAAATGTTCTTCCTCACTGTGGGCTGTTATTTTGACATCGTCAAAGAAAACATCAACACCATCAATACCTTGTAGAATATTTTCCATTGCTGATTGCCAAATAGCAGGTGCACTTGCAATTCCGAATGGTAGACGATTTACTCGATATAGACCTTTGTGTGTATTGATTGTGAGCAATTCTCTGTATTCTTCTTTCACTGGCATGTGTAGGTAAGCTTCGGATACATCAATCTTTGTAAATTTAGTCGAATTACCCATTCTGGCCAAAATATCATCAATGCGGGGCATGTTGTGTTCTGGTATTACCAAATGGGGATTGAGGGTTACTTTGTAGTCTCCACACAGTCTGATATTCCCATTTGCCTTCATAATCGGTACAACTGGAGTAGCCCAAGAACTCTGATTCACCTTTGTAATTATACCTTCTTTTTCTAGTCTGTCGATTTCTGCACTAACTTTTGGTAACAAAGCATAAGGTAGTGGTCTAGCTTTTTTAAAAACTGGTGTAGTGTCAGGCTTTAAGTTAAGAAGTGCTTCTCCCCCTTTGAAACTTCCATCTCTTGGTTCAAATATGGATTTAAATTCCATTAAAATATCGTGTACTTTGGGATTTGAGTGTTTAACTCTATTCAAGTCAGCTCCGTGAACAATATTTATGTCTGACCAATTTATTTTAATCGATCTTAGCCATTCCCTACCAAATATCGTATCTCTATTACCATCGAACAATGGAAGATATACAATGGAAGATATTTGGTTTGGTTACCGTAACCAACCTGAACAATGGTTTTACCCAATGGAACAAATTCATTTTTGTTGAAATCTCTTAAGATTATGTCTGGATTCATTAAAGGTCTGAGTTTTGGAAAAAACTTGGAAAAGTTACTTTTTGACATCAAAGATACCCCTGCTCCTGTATCTAGTTCAAACGGAATAGTTTTCCCATTTATTTTTATGTTTAACATAATTTTCCTAAATTTATCTTCTGAGGTATTCATAGAACAAATGTCAATAACATTAGTTTCCTTATAGAGGGATCTAACAGAATTGTTCATATTTTGTTGTAGAAATATTTCACTTTGATCTTCGAACGAGTCTGTTATTTGTTTTACATTTCTTGAACTAGTGTTAAATGTAGTCTTATTTTGTCTTTGCAATTTGATAGGTGCATTAGGGTTCCTAAAACAAATCTTTGCTAGATGCCCTATTTTTTTACAGAAGTTACATGTTGTATTTTTGTGTTTGCATTCAGATATGTCTTCATGTAACTCTCCACAACGGTAACATTGTTTAAGATTGGTACTGTTTTTAGGTTTTTGAAAACTTTTCTGTTGTACAACATTTAAGTTAACTGGCAATTCATTGTTTTCATGATTGAATTTTGATTGGATTGTTATTGAATCGTTTTGAGCCTTTTCAATTACTTGAGCCATGTCTACAGCTTTTTCAAAACTCAAATCACTGTCAGTTAGAGTAATTAACCTAGTCTGTATTTTTTCATCCCTTAGCCCGAGTATGAATTGGTTTCTCAGGGCTTTTGACAGAAATGTGCCGAAATTACAATATCTAGACAACTTTCTAAGATCCAGTGAAAATTCTGAAACGTTTTCTCCTTCATATTGGTGTCTACAATGAAATTTGAATGTCTCTGATACTTCATTTGGTTTCGGTGTAAAATGTGAATTAAGAGTTTGAACTAATTCAGCATAGGATTTAGTTATAGGTGATACAGGATGCAATATATCCCTAAGTTTACTGTAAGTGTCTGATCCAATACAGTGAAGTAACGTAATTTTCTTTTTATCTTCTGAAATGTTGTTATAAATGAATGATATCTCTATTCTTTCCATATACATTTCCCATGTTTCATATCTTTCATTAAAGGGTCCAATCAATGCTGAGTTAATCATTTGAATGTTTTGAGAGGTATTTGAATTACTTGTACTCACCTCCATCGTCGCCAAATTGTTCTGTATGTAATTAGAACAAATAATAAATGTGTTTGTCAAAGTACAATTTTAACCAACTTTATTCAACACAAATTAAAAACAAAGTGAACAAGTAAACATTATAACCAGCTGATAATAGTTATAGAATAAATATGCAATAAGTAAAGGTAGACATTTAGGATGTAACACATTGCATAGCTGCCTCTTCCATAACTGACGCACATATGCAACGGCCGGTTTTCACCCATAGACTGCTGTCGCATATATGCAACGGCTAGTCACATTGAAATAGACTACCGTCGCATATTTGCGTCGGGGTTCTAATGTTATTAAAATGCTTATATCTTTGTAACGGTCTATTTGAAGGCACTGAATTCCCTGCAGTGGTCTACAGAGATGTCTGACGCACAACTGCGTCGCTTGGTCTGTGGATATGATGATTGCTGACGTCATATGATAGTTGGAAAAACTGGTCTTTACTTTTCTGCATCACTGTTGTATGTATGTATGCAGTATGTGTGCTGCATTATCCTATGTAGCTTTTATATTTGTTCAGTTATAAACTGTTCTTGAATAATCTGTTTTTTTTACTTTCACCTCAAAACACAAACACAAATGCATATATGCGACGCTTGGTCTATTTTAAGAAAACTATGATAATTTTCACTATTGTCTTCGCTGTAGACCGGGCGTCACAAATATGCGACATTACAAAAGGTTATTAAAAATAGAAAAAAACAAGAATAAATTATTTACAAACTCGATTGTAGCGTATTACAATGTAAATGATCACTGTTTTACAGGTTTTCGCCCGTGGTCTGTGTGTACTGTTATCCAAGTGATAGCCGGTCTATGTGTAAGATTCAAAGTTATACCTCGGTCTGTGGCAATGACCGCGGCGTCAACGTGTTAAATAATATTTATATTTAGTTTAGTTTATCAGGTAAATATTACTGTTAAAATGTTTTCAAGGTTAATTTTCAAGATCAAGAATGAAACGCGGGAGACCTCCGAAGCGGATACAAATAATTTGAAAAGGAGAGAAGCTACAATCGATCGACTCGACAGGAAACAAATTTTAACTCTTCGTTTACAACCGATCCAGTTCCAACCAGCTCACACATCCATCCAAGTGTCTCAAATCCTCGGCCAAGTCGCGCATCGAAGAATAAAAAGAGAAATAATTTCAGATCTTATAGCCGTGCAAAATGATGAACAACAGACCGATCATCTTGGGCAGGAGTGTCAGTGGTTAATATTAAAATAAAATGTTATTACTCAAGTAAATTTCTTACGGTACTACAAATAATCTTAATGATAATCTAAATAATCTAAATTAATTAAATCAATGAAATGGGTGGAAAAATAACAACTGATAACTTCAGCACCAGTGGTGCAATCTAAAACAATTAAATACCATAATGCACAGAATTTCATTGACTTTCTAATGAGATACTTTATTATATGGATAAAAATATATTTCAGTGAATAAAACGACTGCGGCTGTTATAGTCGCTCTGCCACTTCACGAACACGTAAAAATTTATTGATTTATTTTTGTTGTTGTGAGATCATATGTAATTGTAATGAAATTATTTTTGCACCATAATATAGGAAGTTTCCTCCTTACTGCAGTGGTACCACCGGTTTTTTGTTGACAAAAAATGTCCCTTGTTATGATTTTTTTTAATATACCTTGTTTGGCAGTTTTGTCAAAGTTTTGTTTGGATGGCGTCAAAGGACCCGTACATGGTGCAACTGACTTTGCTCAAAATGTTTGTTCACTTTAGTGCTCAATTACAGTGATCCCTTTGTGAAATAAAGTTCATCTATGTAACAAAGTGCAAGTTTAGAATCTTATCTTTCTAACGGTTTACAAATTATTTTGTTTACAATAGTTTAGTTTTCAACCATTTATTTGGAGTTAACCTATAGCTACCTTGCAAAACACAACTATTATAGTCGCTGCCACTACAGCCACCCAACGACTATTACAGTCGCGCTGCCAGTTGGAGGATTAAAGAACCAAATTTTCTCCTCCCCCATTGCAAACGCAGAGCACGAGTTTAACTTCAATAAGCATTATATACTTATACGCCAACCTGGTACAAAGAACAGGTACTCTGCTAGTACTACACTATAGTCCTCGCCACATTAAGTTGAGGCAGCCCAAGGCCACACGGCGTATATCTAGTGCGGCCTTTGGCTGCCTCAACTTAGGGTGGCGAGGACTATAAATATGATTGATATATTCTTATGAGTTGACCCATGTAGGCTTATACAATGTTGTTGGTATGGCAGGTGAGTGGGTCATTGTCGGTGGCTCTGTCAGAGTTCTGCTCCAGTCTGGCCACAGAGCAAGTGTTATCTCTGGTGTCTCGTGTGGTCAATGCAGCCGTGCCTCCCACCTTACATCACCTCAGTCAAGACCATTCCTCCCTGGCACTGCAATACCCCTGTGGCCTTCAGGTACAGTGGTGTAATTGATCAGTTATAAACTAATTGATATTAATTACCAAATTTGTATTATGTGGGGTCAAGGAATGACGAGTGACTGTCCCTCGTGAGAAAATGCTAAATTAAAAATTAATAAGCTTAGAGTTTTACCTACTCAATTTGTTCCAGATAAATGTAAAAAAGTATGTACAGTAGACTTTCAGTAATCCGGCAGATATGGGACCGTGATACTGCTGGATTAGTGAAAATGCCAGATTACTGGAATGTTATCAATAAAAACATTTACAATGCAACTCAAACACGTCTCTGAAGATCGCACGATGGGAAGATTGCACTATTGCCGCGGTCGGGCATGATGACGATGACGTTTCTGTGATCGCGGGAGTAGTCAATGATGTTTGCACGGCTGGGGGAGATGATAAAGTTTTTGCCGCGATTGCGGAAGACAACGATGATGTCTACATGACAGTAGGTATAGTTCATGATTTTGCCGCGATCGTGCAAGACGACGATGACGTGTCCGTGACTGCGGGAGTAGACGATGATGTTAACACGGCCGTGGGAGATGATAAAATTTTTGCAGCGACCGCGGATGACAACGATAATGTCTACATGACCGACGACGATGACGTTTTCGTGACCGCAGGAGTAGACAATGATGTTTACACGGCCGCAGGAGATGATAACATTTTTGCCGCGACCGCAGAAGACAATGATATTTTCTCCATGACCACGGGAGATGTTCACGATTTTGCCGCGATCGCCCAAGGCGACGATGACGTTTTCGTGACCGCAGGAGTAGACAATAATGTCTACACAGCCACGGGAGATGATAAAATAGTTGCCGCGACTGCGGAAGACAACGATAATGTCTACATGACCGCGGAAGACAACGGTAATGTCTACATGACCGCGGAAGACAACGATAATGTCTACATGACCGCGGAAGACAACGGTAATGTCTACATGACAGTAGGTATAGTTCATGATTTTGCCGCGATTGTGCATGACGATGATAACGTTTCCCTGACCCCGGGAAGCGATGATAACGTCTATACGTCCACGGGAGATGTTCATGATTTGCCGCGATCGTGCAAGACGACGATGACGTTTTTATGACTCGGATGTGGATGATGATGTCTACACGGCCGCGGGAGATGATCAGAATTTGGCTGCGATCGTGGAAGAACTCACACGTCAAAAGGCTCCGGATTACTGGAGTGCTGGAGTGGTGCAGTGCCGGATTAGAGGGAGTCAACTGTAATGTAAATAAACAAACAAAATTGATAGTGACTTTTTCCTGGAAGAGATTACTGAATGAATGAAATGAATGAATATATAGTTTATTCCAAAAAACATAGGCTACAAACTGTGATTATAAATTAAAATATATTAGACAGAGACTTTTGTCACTAAAAATACATACAAGTTTTAATAAGCCAAAATATTTAACAATTATAACAAAGAAACTAGCAGACATAAGCAGTGCTACCTTGCGTCTGCTAAGTTGCTGTCAAATATAAAAAAATAAAAATTATTGAATTTGTGGAATGGCAATTAAAAAAGACAATAGGTCGTTATTATTATTAGTGATATAAGTAAATGTATTTCTATGAACACAGTGCTGGTAAGCTGGGCTTTATAGATTTTCGTGGTGGCCAGGAGAGAGAGAGAGGGTGAGAGAGTTTCGTGTGTAATGGGGGTAGTGAAGAGAGTGGAGAGTGATGAGTGGATTGTAGGGTAATGAGTGAAGTGTAGAGTAGTAAATTTGACTGCGGACAGTCCAAACAAAGTGCCATGGTCAGTCAGTGCAAAGGTCGGATCAAGTGCACCGGTAGTCCGCCGTGATAATAAAATCGGCCTCGTTAATATTTAAACTGAATAGGAAATCATTGACCTTTAATGAGTCACAATCAAAAAATTGAAATTCCTGAAAATGTTACATATGTTATGATAGACTAAGTGTGAAACATAGTATGAATTAGTCGTAGAAAAAGTATAATTTACTTGAATTGTGGTGATTCCGACTCTTGTATTATATGAATGTAAAATATTTTGAAAAATGTTATTGTAATTTGTATGGATGTTTATTAGAATTGATTTTACGTACAACTGGCGAACAGAGAGGACTCCGATTTCTTTAACTAGAGCGTAGTCGGGTAACGTTTGCATATCCCAAATCCTATTTTTTAAATTGATTTTTGAGCAATATTCAATGGTTCCAAGATACTCCTATAACAGCCGCCCCAAGCTATAATCTATAACTGGTTTGGCCACCGGTGGTCATTTCCTGCATGCACCTTTGAGCCAATGTATGTAGGGTCTTTTGTAGAGAAGGCTATGTATATTATATGGGTCAACAGGTGGAATTGCAAGTGCTTACCCACAACGCACAGCTTAAAATGAGAAGGATATCAGGAGACCAAGGCCAGTACAGTGCCTTGTGTCAGCAGTTGGTAGCCTGCATGTCCAGCTAATGTCACCTTCCTGTGGGCCCAGGCACAGGTAATGTAGAGATGCTCCAGATAATGTTATTGATATGTTTTCATGAAACAGTATGAAAATTACAATGTATAGATGTTTTGTATGAATTTGGAGGCTACTTTAAATAAATTCTAACTGCTTAACATGTGTTAGATTAACTTCACATAACTTGCACATCACATTAATTGTTTTTTATATGTATATTTAAAGGCAAATTAAGTTATTGTGTTTTGCTAAACCTATGCTTAAATTAAACTAAAGAATATCATCAATAACTAAATTGTACGTCGTTGATTTTTGTTTTCAAAAAATCTGTTGTATATGTGTAACTATATATTTAATTATCAAATGGTAATACAAAATACTCTTATTTTATCTTAACATAGCTTTCAGCTCACAATTTACTTTATTTGATACATTTATTATTTGTGTTTTGCCACACCGCTGATTAAATTAAACCAAGGAAAATATCATAAAACTAAGCAGTACACAGTGTTCTTTTGTTTCTAAAATCAATGAAATATCTGTTACTATGTTTACTTAATGGTAAGTGTAAAAATGTAAAGGCAATGGACGATGGGACTGATTAAAAGAACTGGTTTGTATATTAAAGTTGTTTGTTGATATTTTTGTAGAGTACAATCAGAGATGCAATGAAACATATACTGTATTTGTATGACATTTTTTAGTCCTTGATGCTTTGATAATCATATTAGTTTTGTCTGCTGTCTTTAATTCTAAATTATTTAATTAAATTGTTTACAGTACGTATAGATATAGTTTCTTTAATATTTCAAAAGACTGTATTGATAAGGCACAGCAATATTTCTAAAGTTTATAACAGCTGACTTAGTTATGCTAATGATTTATTGTGAGTGAAGAAACTGAAGATAAGGATTTGAGACTTAATATGAAGAAGAGTGAAATTTAAAAAAAATGTTCATTTAAATTTAATAATTAGTATTTTTACAACTTCAAAATTGAAATTTAAAATGTCAATAATAAATTAAAAGATATGTAACTAAGGGAGATGAAGGTAAATCATGTATGTCAAAGTTTTATTCGAAGATTTGGTCAGTTTTTCTCATCTCAGCCTACACAAGATTTAAAATTAATCAAAACCAAAATGGTGGTATCCACTACTTACCAGATTTAAACGTCATAACTTAAACATTTCTATTAAGGCCATAAAAGTTGAATTTTGTTTCTAAAAGTGTTGGTTTATGTGTAACTATTATATGCAACAGATGTAAAGATTAAAATGTTTCTATTTTGTGTCCTCATAACTTAGACGCATAAAAATATCCAAAGCAGAGCCGGAGTTGATACAGCAACGGTTATAGAATCTTTTTTTCTATAATCATTGACATAGTTTTAGAATAAATAATCCGTGATAAAAGGTTAGATTAAAATAAACCTACCTCATAGTTTTGGAAAATATTATATTTAATTTCTTTGTATCAGCTGTCTGAAATTGTGAAATATGCAGTTTAGCAGTTCTTCTTGTTTACATTTATCCCTCCGAGTGTCCCTTGTTTTGGCCTTAATGTCAGCCTATTTTTTGCTCATTTGCAAGGTTTTATTAAAACGGATCTGAGAAGCTTGAAAACAATGTTAATTATACTGTTCTATATACCATTTTGTTTTGAAAATCATGGGCTTCAATATTATACATAAAACATAAGGAACATTTGTTTCAAAAAAACTTTTTTGGTAAAAAAACAATTATTTTGGAAAATTAAAAAAAAATAAGTTCGCGCTCAATGAAATTGTTAGGGATGGACGAGATTAGATTTTTAGTTCGAGACGAGACGAGACGAGATTTTTTATTTCTCATAAAATTTCGAGATGGGATTTCCCTTCTCATACACAACGGGAAATGCAAGTTCAAAATTTTTACCTGATTTTGTAACATTGTTAGATGACTGTTTAAATACAAAAATAATGATAATAGGCAAGAATATTTACAATCTTTTATTAAAAAACATCAGCATAGCATTTTTTTATTAATCACGTCTAACTTATTAAAAATGCCTACGGTTAGAAAACATAGTGATATCAGTTAGAATAGAGTTCAACTTATCCTAAAATAAAATAAATCATAAAATAAAAGCAATATTAATTTTTATAAAATAGTTACTTGTTTTGACTTTTTATAGTAATAAAACACTAGTGTACCTGTTGCTCGAATTCGGGCAATTGCGAAGCATTACAGGCGACTCACGAAGATTATGGAAATACTCACGATCTACACAACAGTTAGATATTATTATTATTATTATTATTATTATTATTTCTTTGTCATGAGAGCCGAAGCCCCCTGACTACATACCCGGTACCTATCGTGAGACATACCCGGGCCCCATGATGTAGGCCGAAGCTTACGCATCAACCTTTAGCACATCATGGGCGGATGACTTAAGGTCATGAGGCTCGCCGGCTGCCGAAGCAGACCCTTCGGAAAGAGGGTTGCCCCTCAATCCTAACCAGGGATTCCGGCTACTTGTTTAAGCGTCACTCCACCTGGGTTCCACCAGGTACAAAGCCCTAGAGGACCATAATGGAGCGCCCCGACGCATTTAGTGCAAGCAACACTCGGGACCTATCTAATCCCTGACAGGCAGAACCCGCCATCATAGCCAGAAGGAAGGGGACCGTCAGCAACCCCAACCTCCCATTTACACAGTTAGATATAATCAAAATCTTTTGTAAATATCTTGTCTTTTCTCAAAAAGCTGATCTTGTTTTTTAGTGTTTCTACAAAATTTTACCTCTCAAAGCCGCATTAGGTTGTCTATAACAATTTTAAATGAAAATAAAAAACATTATTTCTTTTTTTCTACTTGGTTGTGTTCTATGACTATGTTTCCATTGTTTGCAAATCGGTTATTTCAATGATTGCTCAAGAAATGTAGCATATTGTTAATTTAGTTTTATTTTTAGCCCATATCAAATTGTCCAGGATTTTTCCATTGTAATAATTTCACCAACCCAAGTTTCGTCTACAGATGGAATACGCCAAAGAATATCACCTACGTACAATCTCCAAGAAGTGGTAAAAAAAGGCAAAAACCAAGCCATTCAACAGATATAAGTTAACTACATAAGAAATAATTTTAAGAGTTACTGTGATATTAGAATTTTCCACTGATTTGGTAATAGAACATTATATTGCAAAACATGACACGATGCAGAATAAAATCGATTTTAAAATCAGAAAAACCCATTGCAAATACTGTACTTCATTTTGAAAAATTCAATAAATCACAATTTAAATATTAACAGCTGTTTCATTAAAAAGTAGTTTTGAATTATGCATATGGTAAAACAAATTTGAAGATGCAACTTTAAAGGCTTCTGGGGCAGAGCCCCAAGGGAATTTACATTGTTCCTCTTTTTATGGCTCATCTATAGACCAAGACCTTTCTTTAGAGACCCCTACCAAGTTTCTAGGCCCAGCCGTTCTCTCAAATTAGCTGGGACAAAAACCCAGTTTTTCCTCCATAAGAATAACATGGGATGGGAATTCAAAGGCCACTGGGGCAGAGCCCCAAGGGAATTTACCACGTTTCTCTTTTGATGGCTCATCAACAGACCAAGACCTTTCTTTAGACACCTCTACTGAGTTTCTACGCCAGGCCGTTCTCTCAATTTAGCTATGACAAAGAAAAACAGTTTCAAATTAATATATAGATTCCTCACACTGCTTACACTTAACAAAACTTCTCAAATGTTATTAAAGTAATATTATTAAAATAATTAAAGTAATATTTACATTTAAAGAATTAATTAAATAAGAACGCCTTCGCAAAGGAAACGCAACTACAACACGCTCCTGTATTGCGGGTATTGCATTGACTTTCTGCAGGCGTTTTTAATATTTTTTTTTTTTTTATTCTCGTCTCGATAAAAATCTCGGCTAAAAAGAAATCTCGTCTCGTGTAACAAGATTTAAAATTTCCCGAAAATTTCCCGAAATTTCGAGACTTGACCATCCTCAGAAATTGTATAAATTATAGGCCTATAAATATTTGAAAATAGCCACTTTGTTCTAAATTGTATGAGGATTACAAATATATAATAATATAAGGAAGTAGATTTGCAAATAAATAAGTTATGGGCAAAAAACAGATTTCAGTACATAGCGTTTAGCTAAGAATGCATAGCCTAACCATAGCTAGGAATCTGGCTGATAATTTATGTCAATATCACTACCTACTTCTTCAGGATCATCAACCAGCCCTTCAAAACCACTTAAATCTTCTTATAATGCACCACGTATATCACTACTTTTGATTTTTAACACTAAAACAATGACAAACGTAATAAAACACATCAGTCATCGGTGCGAGGTTAACCAAGCTGTTTACAAATACGCACGTCAGCTGTCTGCTACAATATTTTCGGAACTAAAATGAAAAGCGCTTAGAGACAGACCTCTGGAGAAAGCTCTGAATCTGCAAAATAAAACAATACCTAACTCGATCCAGTTCAATCCGATTTTGTCAGTCATAGAGCCTTCGCCGTAAACAGTGTTTGTGAGTCGATGCATCGACACAAAATATTACACAAAGTGTGTTATGTGGTGTCGAAGCATCGACAAATAACACTCGGAGGGTTAAATGTCAAAGCAAATGTAAACAAACATTTTTAGTGTTCTCATCGCAGCCATGGAGATCAATCAATATTTAAAACAGTGGCGTAACAAACTTTTACAGGCCCCCCTGCAAACTTATTATTATTTTTTTTTTTTTTTTTGCCTATTGCATTTTTACTTTCTCCCCCTATACCATAGTATATGGAAAAAGTATTGTTTTCGTCAAAATTTTCGAGTTTGAGTTTTGAGTGGATATATTCGTTTTGGGCCCCCCTGGACCCAAAAAAGTGGTTTTCGAAGCGATGTCTGTGTGTCTGGATGTGTACAGAGTTAGGGACTACACTTGTGGTCCGATGAAATTTGATGAAATTTGGTATGTAGGTTCTAATCCTTGGTATCTCCAGGCTTTTTTTAATTTTTGATT